CACATCGGGAGGCCGCGTCGCGCGTGAGGACTTCTCCCCGCCTGTCGTCCTCGGGCCCGCCCGCGCCCCCCGCACCTTGCCCCCTCCCTCGCTCCTGTCTCCGGGCTCTTTTTTCCGGGTTAATTACGTTTCGCATGAAGGCAAAACCCAGCCCCGGATGTGAGTACAATGCTCCTCCGGGAGGAGACCGGTGTCGGGGTGCGCGGGGGCAGGGCGGGCGGCGGGGCCTGTCCCGTCCCCGAGGTCCCGAGGTCGCCGGGCCGCGCAGGTGGCGCCGGGCCGCAGGTGCCCGAGTGGGGGCGCCGGGGAGGGCGGGAGGCGGCCGAGCGGAGCGGAGCGCTGCGGGGTCGAAAGCGGACAGATCCTTCCGGGTTGTCCTGGATGTGCCGCGGCGTCCTCGCCGGGTTCAGGGACGCTTCAGAGTGTGGCGCAGGGCCCCTCGTCCTGCCCCGGAGCGGGGAGAAGGTGGGGGCCGGGCCAACGCGAACCAAGCCGAGCGGCCCGGGGACCTGGGGCCAGCACTGAGCGCCCTGATCCGCGCGGCCACCTGTGGGGATCAGCCCGGACCGACGAGAAAACCGAGACTCGAGAAGTTGAGTAACAGCCCGGTCTTGGCTGGTGGCAGCCAGGTCTGTCGGGTTCCGACGCCGGCTCCCAAGCGGGACGCAGGCAGGCAGCACCCAGCTAACAGTGATTCGCCCTGCAACCGGAGCCTTCGCGGGGCGCGGACCGGCAGATGTCGGCGTGGCCTGCAGTGCTGGTCCTGGGGTGGGAAAGGAGGCCGTCTGAGGAGGAGGCGGGGGCTCGGCGCCCACACCCGGGGTGGAGAGCGCCTGGGTGCCCAGGACCCGATTCGAAGATGGGAAGGAAGGGTCCCATCCAGAACCGAGGGGCAAGGACGGTCCGGAAAGTCTCTGCCTGGGAGGGGAGAGGCTCCAGCAAGGTGAGGCCAGAGAGACTGGGGCGCAGCGCACACCCAGAAAGCGCAGGCGATGGAACCGCGCGTTCGCTCTTCCACTTTGATTGCCAAAGTAAAAACGAACCACGCCGCTCCCTCAGGTGTGAAGAAAGACTGTTTGCCTCCACACATCTTGCTCTGAATAAAGGACATAAAAAAGAAAAGAAAAAATCCCCAATATAAATACATGAACGCAGTTGTGTGTGCGTGCCCGCAGGTTTCTGCCAGCACTTAGGTCTGGGCAGTGCATGGTAGCCACAGCCACGTGGAGCAGCTTCTCCGGAATCCAGGAGCTGAAGCCCTGCTCTGCTACTTGTTAGCTCTGCTCCCTCCCTTCTCAGCGTCCCGCTCTGAGTGGTCTCACAGCCTCAGGGCGTCAGCACGTGCAGTCTTTAGGTTAGTTTCCAACGTGAAGATGCTGTATAAATCGTTTCATTTAAAAATTAGATTATTATATACATTGCACAAAGGAACACAGTTCCTTCGGACTGGAAACCACCAGTCCCTTGAATTGGCTGGATGAGCACTCCCAAGAAATCCGACTCAACCCATGATTTCCAGTGTGAGCTGTGAGGTGAAAGCTTCAAATTTCATGGTATGGTTCCCATTAAAACCCATAAACTCTGCTCCCTGTGGGGCCTGCCTGACTCAGTCACAGAGCCGTAAATATGTTCTGAGCACTACTGTGCTGATGCCAGGGAGGAGATGAGAAGCTAAAGGCCGGGGGTCTCTGTGGACACACGGTGACTAGAAGGTCGGGGGAATGGCACAGAGGCGATTGTGCCAGGGTTTAGAGGAGTAAGATGGGCCTCCCTGTGGGCTGGGGCTTCTCAAGGAGGGGCTGAGCTTGGAAACAAGCCTCAGGAATACCCTTTCGGGTACTGTTTGATGTGAGCAAGACCAGGGCCAGCCATTCACACTGCGCTTGCTGGGAGCCACATCTGTCCATGGCCAGAACCTGGTCCCAATTAGGTGACAATTGCTGTACTCACTGAGATCCACACCTGTGTTCCTGGAGTTCCCAGTGATTCCTCAGATGACCCACTACACCCTATCCATGCCACTGAGCAGGCATCCACTGAACTGTTCTCCCCTCCTCTTTCTTCTCACTTTTTTTTTTCCTCTTGCGGTAAAGTACACATACCACAAACATAACAATTTTAACTATGTTAAAAAGTGTGCGTTTAGTGGCATTTAGTACATTCACTGTGTTGGGCCACTGTCACCATTAAAGAGTTCCAGATCATGTTGTCATTCCTCAAAGTAACCCCATGCCTATTAAGCACTCATACCCCATCCCTCCCTTCTTCCAGCCCCTGGTAAGCCCTAAGTACATTTCCATCTAACTAATGGATTTGCTTTTGATAGTTCATGTAGGTGAAATCATGTAACATGGGACATTTTATGTCAAGCTTCTTACATTTTTGCTATCTCCTGATCAACACATTTTGAAGTACAGTATTTGCAATTGTTTGATTTTATGTCTTACCTTTTTTTCAGGTGCAATAAGCAGCCTTGCAAGTGTGACTCTATCTGTGAGAAGTGGGGCATCAGAAAAGGGACCAACATAAAATGAGAGTGAACATTTTGCTCAAGATTTTGTAGCTAGTTAGTGGCAGAGCTGATTCTAGAACCTGAGGGTGACTCTTGGTACAGGAATTGGCCTGTGAAGGTGGGAACTCTGGCCCAGAAGTTCAGAATCTAATTCAAAAGCCTCCTCTACCGTAACCGTTTATTTGTGTGCTTTCTATCCATTTTCAAAGTTAATGGCTGGTTAGATGACCTGATAACCTCCAGTGTGTGCCAGTGTCCCCTCAGGGAGCTGTATTGTTCTCTGTCTTCAGGGACCCTTATTACATAAGGTTTCGGGCTGCAGTTGGGGCCAGTTAGTTACATTGGAGATAGTGTAGGACTGAACTGGCCAAGGTCATTGGTTTGACCTGGTTCAGACCAGTTTAATTTTGCACAGAGATAAATTGCTCCAAGGTCATACATTATACCTCTAATATTAGCTAGTCACTTCATAAGTAGTTGTTATAGGTTTTAATAGCAAAGTATGAGTGGTTCTACACCACCCATTTCTAGAAAAATTGCACAAACTACCATTGTTCTGTTCAGTCTCATTTATTGAATAATTATCTGAAGCTATTACCATTTTTTTGTATATACCTTATATTTGCTTATTTTCCAAGTACTCACTAAATACTGATTGCTTTACATATATTATCTCATTTAAGACTTCCAACTATGCTGAGAACCAAGTGCTGTATTATTACTTTCTCCATTTTATGGTGACAAGATGACTAAGCCATAAAGAGGAAACCTAGATACAGACCTGGGCAGTCTGATGCCAGAGCTGCCCTCTTCACCCCAGGTCACACTAGTGAGTGTAATGGCAGACCTTGAAAGGATATAGAAAGACAAAAACCAAGACACTTTCCCTTCCACATTTTTATATGTATCATTACTTAGGCTTTCCTTTCTATTTCAGCTAGCAATTCCACATTGAAGGGTACGTCCCACAGAAAGTCATGTGACTATAAAGGGATATAGACACATCAAAACATGTATATATTCACTGCTACATTGTGCATAATGGTGAAAATGGGAAATCATTCTCTTGATTGGATTGGACAGATAAGTATTGTTACATTCATACAATCTTAGGCTATGTTGCTATTTAAAAAGAACGAGGTCAGGATGGGAGTACGTATCACACACAGGTAGAGCATGTGCTCAGCATGCATGAAGCCCTGGGTACACTCCCCAGTGTTAAGAGAGAGAAAGATCTATACGAAAAATACTTAGGTTTAGAAATAAAGCTACAAGTGAGGTCTGGCACTCTGGGAGAATGAGTCAGAAGGATCACAGATTTGAGGGCAATTTAGAGATTTAGTGAGACCTTGTATCAAATTTTATAAGGTGTGGGGTGACTGGGGTTGTAGCTTAGTGTTCAATCCCCAGTACCACAAGAAAGAGAGGGAGGGAAGGAAGGAAGGAAGGAAGGAAGGAAGAGGCTACAAAGCTGTATGTATAATGTAATCCTATTTCTGTAAATAAAATTTTATTTGCTTACATGTCTTTACATATACTTGTTTACATATGAAAAAGGTCTAGAAGGATATATTCCATATTGTTAACTACAACTCTCTTAGAGCTAGGCAGGAAAGGCTAGAATGGTGGATTTCACTTCCAAAATATATATTCTGTAATGTTTGGTTTTTTGTGGCAAGTATGCAAACATTTGGTTATCAAAAGAACAATGATTTAACTTTTTAATAAAATTTTTAAATTCTATGAAAAAAATCAAATTTCAGCTTCCAAGGATCTCCTCCTTGAGTAGGGAGGGAATATGGTATACACAGAAAAAACTATCATCACAGCCAGAACCTGCTATACAGGTGGGCAGGAGAGGAGAGGGAGAATTCTCTGGGAAGATGTCAGCCAGCTGCGGTTGAGAAAATATATACAAGGGACGGCACTCGAAGGACCTTGGAGGAAAGGTAGCCGTGAAAGAGTCAGGAGGGAGGCAGAGCAGGTGGGGTTCGCATAAAGAGATTGTGGAGGGACAAAGGATGTGTGGCCAGCTGTGCAGGAAGACAGGAAGGGACCCAGTAGGGAAGAAGGTGGCAGGAGGTCTGTATTGATTTCTTTAGGCTTCAAAAGCCACCATAGGGTTTTAAACATGGAAGGAACACAATCAGAATTGAGTAAGCAGCCAGGTAGCATGAGGCACAACTATAATCCCAGCCCCTCTGGAGGCTGGGGCAAGAGGATCACACATTCAAGGCCAGCCTGGGCAGTTTAGCAAGACCCTGTTTCAAATAAAACCAAAAAAAGGGTCTGGCGGTGTGGCTCCCTGGCTTCACCCTCGAGAGCAGGGGGAAAAAAAGTGAATAAACAGCAATTTCATAGCCACTGACTATGTAATTGAGGTTGTACTCTAGCATCAAGCTGCCTGGTTTTGACTCCCAATTCTGTCCCCAGTTACCAGAATAGTGTAATTAAGGAGTCAGGGACCAGTTACTTGCTTCTCTGGATGTCTATAAAATGGGGAAATGGCGATAATGATGACTATATCATACCATTGTTGGGATCCAGTGAGTTAGTGCTTTCAGGGCGCATGTCAATACTGAGGATGTCTGCCAAATTAAAAAAAAAAAACTAGCAAGGATTGGGGGTCACTGGAAGTAAACTGCATGCCTAGCATGTGCAAGGCCCTGGTTTGGTCCTCAGCAGCACAAAAACAAAATAAATAAAAATAAAATTTAAAAATCAGTGCTGTGTTAATTTTCTCGTTGCTGAGACAAAATACCCAAAGCCCAAAATTAAGGGAAGAAAGGTTTATTTAGTCCATAGTTTATAGAGGTTTCAGTCCATAGTCAGCAGACTCCAAGGCAGGGTGGCATGGCAAACAGGCACTGCAAAGAAGAAACAATTCATGGTAGGGAGAAGGTAGCAAAACAAACAAGGGATGACCGCAGCTCTTTCCATCCCTTGTATCTTATCCTGGCTACTCAGGGCAGGTAGCACTCATACCCTTAATCCTAGTGAACTTGATCCTAGCCCTGCACCTTGAATGAATCATAGCATCATACACTGTAGATCCAACCACCTCTGAAAAAGCCCCGCCTATCACCACATGAGGCTTTGTGGGGACATCTAGACACAAACCCATAACAAGTATCATACTTTTAGATGAAAATATTTGCATTTTATTCTGAAACTTTTCTTATAAAGAGCTAACTTCTTTTTTCACATCCTCACATAATATATTATTAATCTCATCTTATAGATAAAGAATTTAGGTTTTAACGAAAGAGGCAATCTCTCTTATCTGAATCCTTAAGCTCTGGTCCGTGCCCCAAACCCAAGACTCTTAGCTCAAATTCCCAGAGAGTAGGAAAAAACAGGAAGTGGAAGAAACTGGAAATTTCTGTTTCCAGGACAAAGAGAACAGTAGTAAAGGACAGGAGTTAAAGTAAGATCAAGAAAGATAAAACTTTGGTAAATACCTGGAAGTTTGTATATAAAATCAAGTGTAACATATAAACAGGAGATACATGTGTACACATACATACACATGTTTATACATGTTTATACATAATATATACACCAAAAGTGTTTCCTAATAACTAAGTTTGGGAGGCATTACTGTACGGCTACATCTGACACTAACGTAACCCTCAAATTGGAGTATGCATCTTGTGCCCAGAAATAACTCTGTGGCCCAAGTGCTCCATTTTTATTGATTTGTGCCAATAGCATTGTTTTTCCATCCATTTGAGTAAGTGTATGTGTTAGTTACTTTTCTCTAGTTGCTGAGACAAAATACCCAACACCCAAAATTAAGAAAGGAAAGGTCTATTTAGCTCATAGTTTGTGGAGGTTTCAGTCCATAATCAGCTGGTTGCAAGGCAGAGTGGCACATGGCAGAGGGCAACAGTTTATGATGGCCAAAAACAGCAAAAGCAACAAGAGCAGAAAGGGAAAAGCATAAAGAGCAAGCCTCTTTCCCTCCCTTATAATGCATGCAGTCTTCCCGCCCCAGGGTGGGTGCAGCACTCACACCCATAACCCTAGCACTGGACCATGAATCAATCACAAACTCTAGAAGCACACCCCCCTGACTGCATGAGGCTTTTGGAGGCATATATACACAAACCATAACAGTGCAGTCGGAGTTCTGTGTCCCCAGCACTGCCCTGTGATTCGATAGGGAGAACTGGTCCCTACAGAGTCAGTGAGAGAATGAACAGCCCCTTAGTTTCAGATCTACAATCCTGGCTTAACAGGATTATATATGACTTTTTGCTCATATGGTTACATAATTCACTCTATCATCACTGAGCCCATAGAGGAGCTACTATTAGCAAATACTTGTGGGTGAAAACAGTTAAAGTCATGGTGCACACCATAATCCCAGCACTTAGGAGGTTGAGGCAAGAGGAGCATGGTGAGTTCGAGGCCAGCCTGGGCTACATAGTGAGACTTTGTCTCAAAAAAACACAACAAAACAAAACAACAACAAAAATCAAAGTCATAAGGAGTAGCAAACTCCAGCTCATTCTAGGAGAAGCCTACAGTCATCAGTGAGACAGGCTGACATTTACACCAGTGATTCTCAACACAAGCTGACTATTATAGACCATGAAAAACAAACAAAGGCAAAAAGGATTTGTCTATATGGACTTATGTCCTCCCATTATTCTGTTAATAGCCAATAGGTGCTGCTCTATTTCCCACCAAAACTCACACTGAAATTTCATTTCCAATGTGAAGTATTAAGTGGTGAGACCAGCAGGAAACTTTATGAAGCAGCTGGCTCAGGATATTTTTGCATTCATGAATGGATTCATTCATTTGTGGTTCAACTTTATAATACTTGACAGTCTGTGGATTGATTTATCAAAATATTTTACGGCTAGGGGTATAACTAAGTGGTAGAGCACTTGCCTACCATGCATGAAGCCCTGAGGTTGATTTCCAGCAGTGCATTCAAAAAATAAATAAATGAAAGTTGATTTCATATCAATTCACGTGAAAACTCCTGCCACTGGAAATGTTATACAAAACCTACTTGAAGCTTGAACTCAGTCCTAGTGAAACTGAGGGTGAGTCACTGGAGACAGATGATTTACCCAGGAATCTTCTTTCAAATATCACAATTTGTATGATTACTCTACAAGTCTATATTCAAATGAAGTGAGATTCTGTCTCAAAATAAAATATATAGGGGGCCTGGGGATATAGGACAATATAAAGGCCTGGTTTCAGTCCCCAGCACAAAAAAAAAAAAAATTAAATGTAGCACTAGGCTGGAGAATTAAGCCCAGTCTAGCTTAACTCCTTCATTTAGCAACAAAGTAATAACAAACTAAATTTATCCTTACTCCTAACAGCTAATGACACCATGAGTATTCTAATTGGATACATGGCCCGACACACCCCCCATGTTTGATTTATCACAGTCCTGGCTTTTGGAAAAGATATGTACAGGGCTAGGGTCACCCTTCTGGCAACTTCAGCCCTTGGAACAGACCTCAGAACTTGGAAGGTGAGAAGACAAGGGTCTTTTGAGCAACTCACCAAAGTGCTTATTGATTCTTATTGAATATCAAATGTCAAAAGGCCCCATTATATAGTTTCCCAGCCCTCAGCAGATTAGAAATAGCAGGAGAATGGAGACAGCACTGTGGTGGGCGGGGGCACAGAAAGCAAGTGACTTTACCCACTGCACTGTAGGTCCCTACATGGAACTGCTGACCACAGCAAGGAAGTTATCCAGCGTTCCCAGAAGTGGCATGTGCTCGAGACAACCTCCACCACTCCTGGTCATGACCTTGGAATAGGAAGCAGTGGCTGGACTGAGATCAGAGCCTTTATTTTTGGTGGAAAGTTTCCTATGGTTCTGCCGGTAGAGTGACAGCCCTGGGGAGGAGGTCACCCAGGAAGCAATGAGAGCAGAATTCATGATTCATTCACATGCTTTTATATTTTTAAAATAGTATACTATGTGCATTGTCTACTTTTTCCTAATAAAATGTTTTAATCAATGTCCCTAGAAAGGATTTTGTAGGTAAAAGGTCTATGAAAAAGAAAATTTATATAAATTAAAAATATTACATCACAATGAGATACCATACTGATCAGAATGGCTAAAATGAAAAGCTAGTGATGGTACATATGCTAGATACCATATGCTAGACAGTAGTGAAAGTACCATATGCTAGACAGGATGCAGCAATTGCTATGCTGCCAGTAAGGATATAAAATGGCACAGCCCCTCTGAAACACAGTTTGGCAGTTTGTTAAAATTTAAACAGGCAAAAAAGGACTAAGATGCAGTATGCATATGTACCAACTCCCCACGATGAATCTATTCATTATGTATCAAAAACATACTAATAAAAATAAAGCAAAGTATCCTGAGGCAGGATAGGAAAGATAAGTAGAAAAAAAGACAAGAAAAAGCATAATTTTAAATTTATGCTTTTAATAAAAACTGCAGAATCAGGATACAAACCCAGCCAAAAACTTCTAAGGGATAACCAAGCCTTTTCCACCTGTGAATAGA